ACTTGTGGGGTTGTATGATGCACTTCTGTTCAGTCAGTGAATAACCTGACAAACACTCCCAGTTTGTTAAAGCATAGAGCATAATGGCAATGAAACAGGCCACTGTTGTGGATGAGGCCAACATCAAGAAGCTTTAGACACTGAAAATAAGCCAGTTTATGTATACACCATATTCAAAGTATTTTCAGCACTTTACTTTGTCAGGTAGTCCTTTTTGACAAACTTTTTTCATCCACAAAACTTGTATTTTCATGCACATGAACACACTGTGTGGCAGATTAAAAACCACTATGGTGAAGCACTGAAATTATTCTAAAAATGTAGAACACTAGCAGTGTTTCCATTTTAATGCTTTTTTTTTAATCAGCAAATTTTTAAAATGTCAAAAGAAATTTAAAAAGAAAATGCAAATCAGGCATGTTTCCATCAACTGGCTTAGAGCAAAATCAATCAGGATACATCAGAATTTGATGTTATGCATGGCTGTAGTAAACGGGAAGTAATGTCTCTTAACAAGGACTAAAAATAAGTTTTTGCACACACAAATGCTACAAAATGATTTTTTTAAATGATCACAAGAAAGAGAAATAGGCAAATATGTAAACAGTTTTGTAATATTTGTTAGTCTTACATCACACATCCTGATGACAGTTGATGGATCTTCACCAGATGTGTAGCGTGGCAAACCAAGCAGAGCAGCACCCCTTCTCCTTTCATTTGTGTCCTGCAAGAGATGAGACATTCAGTAAGATGAATATATTTTAACAAAAACAACAAATTATGCCTTGTTTTCTAGCCATCTTCAGTTCTGCTTACATCTTTTGCAAGGCAGTCCAAAGTGTCTTTGAGTGGCTGCTTCTTTCCAGATTTGGTTACTACTATTATTGTTATTACTTTGGTAGACCTCCAGCAGTCTCAGAACCAGGCCATCAAGTCCGTCAAGAAAAGATTCCAGAAGGTCTTTGGTGACGATTCTTGTAAATTCAGCCCTAATCTGAGGTGACAGATTAAAAAACTTGTCTCAATAAGACACAGTTAACTCAGTCTTAAATCACTAAATCTCCTGGTGGAACTAATTCAGTTGTGCGATTACCTGAGGCTCATGGAACAGAGCTGGCCATCGGGAGATGAGCTCTGTGATGTGTGGTTGATCTCCTACAATCTCAAAACAAAAAAGTATTTTAACATTTAAGATAATCAGTAACAGCAGTGTGGGGTAAGGATACATGAAACAAAGGACACGGCTAATTACTGACAAGGAACAAGACTAATTACTGCCCCACAGCCTTTACTGAAGCCGCTAACTCACCTGCAGTCAGTACGTCGATGCAACACTTTGAACAAGCGCCACATATGTGCTTCTGAGGAAGTGTACAATACAAAAATCGTGGTAGCTGCTTGTATTTTCTCTTAAGAAAAGTTCTATAACAGCAACCGAGTATCATACTGCGTTTAGCTAGCTGCTAACTCCTGCCCGCGACAGTTAGCAAGCTGTTGTTTTCTATCCTGTGTTTAAACATGTAACAGAGACACGAACTTTTAGCTCTTAACATATTTTAAAAATGGATGGCATTACCAAAAAACGACAAATGCAGCTTACCTTACTTCTGTGGCTCCAGCTCGCTTCGTATTTAGAAAAAATGCCCCGCCAAATTTGAACAGCCTGTGGGACTGATCCAGGTCTTGGAAAAAATGGTATTCATCCGCGACTTTGCTTTCGACGTCCTTAATCTGGTCAGGTGGTGTTCCTCTTTTTCGTTTAATATGCAATTCTAACTGGGATGGAGAACTTTATAAAGTCTTACTAAATCTTACATCATATTTAGTTCCTTTTCAGA